AAAAAAAAAAAGCAGAGTTAGGGTCTTTGATTGGTAGTCCGTTTAAATCTGGACCATTTAGCTCAAAACTCGCTAGGGCTAGCACGTTTAACTTGAGTTGACTAGTGTAAATATTTGCAACAAGTAAGGAATAAGCCCTAAAATTCCTGTTATTTACAGTTTTGTTATTTGCTTCATGTGTAATTATAAGCTGTAACGGGTTATTATAACTTGAATGATAATTATTAACATTTTTGTTATTCTGCTTCACACCAAAGTATTTACGCCAATCAAAAAGGCTAATAGGAAACATAAGAATCAAAGACCTAACACAAAGAATACAACAATAGATTGTAAATGCAACAGTATGATATAATATCATGAAAATTCTAAAGCATAAAATTAACTAGTAAAATGGTAATTATAAGTAAAAATTTGAACAATTTTTTTTTCTTTTGAGAAAAAGTTATGTTATTTAAGAGTTTGTAATTTGTGTTCATATATGAAGTGTATTTGTATACATAAAGTGGTAAATATTAAATAGCCGTTAACAAGTAATAAATGGAGAAAAACACTACAAGAGTCTAGGTCTCTACTTAAATATAAACTCAAGTTATGAATGACATGAATAAAATAATATAAAACTAACAAAGGTCACTCCAATGCAACACCCAATATACTTGCACTTGCATTGGAGAACATATTTTTTTAGACTGAGTCTATTTATCTAGGTGATATATAATTATTTTCTTTATTGAACCCAAAACATTATGGATGCTATAAGAAAGAAAATAAATGGGGGTCATTGCATGATCCCTTGCAAGGTGACGGGCCACATTTGCAAAGGGATCGGGGAATGCACAGTGGGACGCGAGTGCCTGCGGGTGAGATAATGACATGGTTGGGTGTACTCACGTAAACACTCATAAGAGACATCAAACTCCCGTGGACGATCGGATGCGCGGACTATATTGTGTGATCCAATACTATCCACCTCTTGCTCTACTGACGTTTCAGCAACGTCAACCATGCCTCATCTATAGTTGTGTACGAGGCCACAACTCTAGCCAAATTAACACCAATCTCTCTCTCTGGGGAGTAGGCTAGCACGAAAAACTTGACCGAAAAATAGAATTAATGTCCTTCCACCTAGGATCGCCAAAGTCATGGTACTAGGCCACGCTAAACATACTTGACTATGATAACACAGACTTTAATTTAGATTCATTAAGAAAATAAGAATAGTTAGAATTGAAAAGCAAACTACAATAGACAAACCTAAAAAAGTTCAACCCAAATAGACATGAGCGTAGTTACGACATTGGATTGCTTGTGGTGCCGTAAAACATTAGGTCTGCAACATCTATAGAAAAAAACGGTAACGCTTGTCAATAAAGTCTACACAGTTTTCAAATTGATAACGAAAAGCATAAAACGTGATATGCGACCATCTATGGTGCTCAAATCTAGTTGAAATGCCAAGACGATGATACCATATTCTCGAATAGTTTTGGAGCGTCCTAAGGTCTGGGAACTATTTCTCATTTTTTTTGGATTTGGGCATAACATGTATAGAAAACGGCGGTAACGGGTGCGGTCCACCCACGTGAAGTGCACCATAACAGAGTGAGCCTAAATGCACCATTGTGAGATTTCATATCAAAACCAATTGGTGGTAGGATGAGGAGCCCACTAAGCTTATTAGTTGGGCCTATTTTTCCTGTATAAACGTTGTGGAACAAGTCACAAGTGATTCATACGAAGCCCAAGTCCACATATGTTGGGTAACGGATACATCATAACAGGTCCTACGTAGGCCCGCTCTGATACCATGTAAGAAACAAAGGAAATATGTAGGTCTCATGCACGTGAATCGCACTATACGAGGGCTAGTCTAGATGCACCATAATGAAGTTTTATCCCAAAACAAATTGGTGGAAGGAGGATGAGCCCACTATGTTTATGATTTAGGCTTGTTTTCTGTGTATAAACTATGTGCGATAACTATTATATTCTAACATGTCGTACCCCTCACCTCCCCAAGGTCGGGTAAGTGGTAAATCTCGTCGTTATTGGTTGGATGGGGCTCAATCGGCCGATCCGCGTTCAAATCCAAGGATCCGCTGCGAGCACACCCCGGATCCGATCCCACGAATTGTTGAGTGTACGGATCCTTATCCCTCACTTGTGAGTCATTCGTACGAAGTCCAAGCACAAGTAGACCGGGTAACGGGTACGTCATCGCACGGTCTCACGTAGAACCGATTTTGATACCATGTAAGAAAGAGAGAAGTAGTTATTAGGCTTATAAGTTAGGCCTACTTTCCCTATATAAATTATGTGAGACAACTCATAAGTGGTATTAAATTCTATCAAAATGGATGAAGGGTGTTTTAGTAATTGACCACAAATCCCACCATATATCCAATAAAATAAACTTATAGACATAATTATCCTATAGGACGGGATTAACAATATCAAGCCAAAGAAACTATTGTTTGGTTCAAAGTAAATAAATACTAAATAGTATAATCCACTTGGGTTTTGTACATGTGCCTTTAGATGTAAAAATGAAGAACGTGTATTCCTAAATCAATTTGTTTCGTAATGAATAATGATACATCATGACTCCAAAGACTCCATAGAACTACTCAAACCATAGTTGAGTCAATATATGCATAATTTTGCTTTGTCTTGTTTCGTAGGACTATTCCAGATTGAAGTTTCAAAATGGATTGGGCTCCTTTGGGCTGCACAGACACCAACACAAATGTCAAATTAGACAGTTGTCTATAATTTAAATGAACCCAATTGACTTTGTTCCTGAGAAATGCTTTATACATGAAAATTATAAATCACACTTCAATAAATCATAGTAACTCCAACTAAAAGACTTCTCTTGAATCAGTGGACGTAACAATTTATTTGGCGTCGTCCCCAAACCTCCACCATTTCGCGTCTTCGTACCCCCTCTATTCTCGATTTCTGCAGATTTAGGTCTTTAGACGGGTGATAGTGAAAGGGAGGATTATTACTTTTATCGTAATTGTTTGCATGCCACTGTGGACACATTAAAATGTATTTATCATGGATACTATGTTAAGATGTGTCAGCTCACCACGTATCAAGATCTCGTGATGTTTTGATCATATATTCATTATGTATGTCATGGTTATATCTATCACATCTATTAGTGGACATATTAATCCAAACAAATCATTTGAATACGTTTTTTGCCCACCAAAAGATAATAATAATAATCTTATACTCCACACTCAAGAAAAATAAAATAAATTGGCCCAAATATGTCTAGAGGGCAAGTTGCAACTTCTGTTACAAATTGAGTGCTTAGAATTGCATGGGAAAACATACTAAGTAAACAGTATGGTTTTATTCTTACAACTTCAAGTAAAAAACGAAAACAAGAATACAAAAATCTTGATGCGGGAAGAGAATCAACTGAGATGGGAGTTGCTCTTTTTGTAAAACGAATGCATCCCGTAATGTACTGAAGTGCACGAACGTCTCGTCCCCAATAATATAACGGTTGCTTCTCAGAAGCTGTAGCACTTCAAGCTTCTGCTCTGACAAACTTGAATGGAGTCGAGAACTGAACAGTATGTAAATACGTGAGACTATGAGATGTAGGATGCAAATGTATTTGTGTCTTTCTGCAGCTCTACCATGTCCTACTTATAGGACTTCGAGCCATGTGGGAATGACCAAAGATCAGCTGCCACTAAAGGGAGGTAACAAAGTCAGTCATGAGCATAAAATGTGATCAAGTGTTACGCCTGAAACGATTAGGTGGAGTTAACATGACCAAATATAATGTATCTGGAGAGGTCTCATATGGGTTGGGTCAAAACCTGAGTCCAAACCCAACTCAGTTTCAATTTTAATGTGAGCCTCAATTTTGCAAATAAATTTACAACAAAAAGATTATAGAGACTAGGCCTAAGGACTAAGGCTAACACCAAACCCAATACCGGCCCAAACCCGAGAAGAACTAGCCGACAAGCGGGTGCGCGCTCGTATGGTTGAAGTCATCGCTAACACTTGGAGCATAACTTTTTTAATTGTTGTAACATTTCCAACTTTTCTTATTATAGCCCTTCAAAATACACAACTATCATTTTACATGTCATTAATGCTATCTTTAATTATTTATTTTTCACTCACTGGAAATCTGTTTTGAAAAAATAAACATATCATGAACATTTACACAAAGCGTAGAATTCTTCTACACATTTTAATTCAACCCGAGTTAAAAACAACAGATTTTCATACAACTTGAAGCTTAACAATCGCAAACGATTCAAGATTTCATTTGCATTTTTGCCACTGGTCTGACTCCAATTTGCCACTCTTCTGCTTCATTTAATGACTAGAAATGCACTAAATTTATCTTACTACACCACCAGTCACCCAAACATGAAAATAACATCTTTATTTTCGAGCCACATTTTCACTTATAATGTTAGATCAAGACACGTTCAATGACAAGAAATGTGGCGGCAACTCAATAATGCATATTCACTTGTTCCCCCACAAGAAAATAACTCCGTCACCAAAATTCGGTGAACGAATTTTCGGCTCGACAAATAGCATAAACTACGTTGTCAGGTGAAATCCTTGTCAACTGTTCCAATCTCATGCCTCAATTGGCTGAGGACCACAGACCAAAAAAAATTTACACGAAAACTGCAGAATTTAATACAGCCCCAAGAATTTCCACCAAAATGTGCCTACGACTCCCCAAATCAGTGCATTAACAAGAGCCATGATGAATCCAAACTTGAAGACATCTGGAAGATCTACATAACCAGCTGTCATGAAAGATGCATATGAAAATAAACGTGTTAGTGAAACATTTTAACAAATCACCAAAGAGGGGGAATGTTATAATCTAGTTTACTTTTTCGTATTGAACAAACTGAAAGGCTACAAATAAGTTGGTTGTGCATGCAAATGACAGCTCAGTTTTCGTTAAACGACAAATTACACAAAACCCTCTGAACTATGCAACATTGGCACATTGGACCAAAATGCCAAAAAA